GAAATCTGGGAGTCCTGGCTGAATACTTTAATCAGGGTGTCACAAGCCAAAATTAAGGTATCCTCCAGTTTGGGCTCTATTCTCAAGACTCTGTGGAAGAATCAACTTCCAAAATCTTTTAGAATGCTTGCAGAATTCATTTCCTCTTTATGGTTTCCTTGTATGCCCACCTACACTCCATCTTCAGCTCAAGCAGTAATGTGTTAAATTCCTTTCATGCTTAAAATCTCCGATTTCCCCTTCTATCACATCTCTCTGGCTTCTTTCTCTTTTTTGGGGGGGAGGGAGGAGATAGATTAGAACAAGCTAACATCTGTTGCTAACCCTCCTCTTTCTTGCTGAGGAAAATTGGCCCTGGGCTAACATCCATGCCCATCTTCCTCTCCTTTCTATGGGACATTGTCACAGCATGGCTTGATAAGAGGTTCTTTGGTCCACACCCCGGATCAGAAACTTGGAACCCAGGGGTGTCAAAGCAGAGCCCACCAACTTTACAGTTATGCCACCGGGCCAGCCCCTGGCTTCTTTCTCTTTTCATGACTCATGTATTACATTGAGCCTACCAGATAATCCAGGACAATTTCCCTATCTTGAGATCACCTGATTACTAACCTTAATTACACCAGCAATATCCCTTTAAAGTATAATATAACATCATCATCCCAATTTATGTTACATTCAGGGTTGGAGAGCTGCCTATTATTTTGAAAATTGTCAATATATCTACAACTCTATTAACACTGGTTACCCATCGTGATGATTTCTTATAAGGTAGAGGCAATGGGAGAAACGTCCTTACAACTTTTCGTTGTTTTGTTATGTTTAATTTTCTTAGAGTAAAGCCTATAAAAAAAAGCTTGTAAAAGTTTATATAGCGGAAAATAAACTGTTATACTTTGGAAATACCACAACACCTACAGGTATCTTCATTTGATCAGTGTTGAGGCATAAAATTTTTGGGGGTATAACAGTTCTTCAGTAACACTGCAGAGGTTGGAATCTGATGCACTGGCCCCCCCTCCAAATGCCTGCAGCGCTAGATGCCAGGAAACAGCTTCTCCTGCCTGATCCATCAAGGTCACATCCTGTACCTCTCATCCTGAAGGAAGAGTGAGAATGCTGTTATGCTGTTTAACCAAAGTTTTACCTGCCCTCTTTTACTGTATGTTCTACTTAATCAGTGTGGGGGGAATTTTATCAAGCGAGACTTTTGCCCCCTGAGCTAAAATTAGGAACTCACCATGATGTTGTAATTTTAGCATAAATTAAGGAGTTAATGAATGGGACATAATATAGTAGACTCCAATCTGCCCACTGACACCACCATCATTCCCAGCTTCATCTCTCCTCTCCTCCAACCTGTGTCCCTCCTCCTCCAGCTACATCCTTCATGCCTCCACCCCGTGAGCTGTAGCCATCTACTAAACTTCCACTCAACCCTCCCCTCTACTCAACCAATTTTGACTCTTACTTCACTCCCAACTTCCCTCCTCTCACCTTTTTGACATCCATCACCATATGACCACTATTCCAGGGACTCCAGTCTGACCCTCCTCACCTTCCATCAGCCCTGCAAACCACATCATCTGAGTGCTTCTTTTCCTTGCATTATATCCACTCCAATTTAAATATCTCAGCCATTCTCTGGTCTTCTATGCACCACACCATTGAATATCCCAGGCTCAACTCTCAGGCATCATCAACTCCTCCAATCCATACCCTGCACCTATTATATCCAACCATACAGTCCCTTTCTCCTGGGCTCCTTGGCTCACCCATGCCCTCTACCCTGCCCAGATCCCTCGTATCTGGGGTTATTTTACCTCCCATTTCATACTCATTATCTCCTCCAGGTTCCATATCCTCTTCCCACACTCTAGATCTGCCTTGGGACACACTATTTACTTCCCGAATCAGCCTACTCCACCCATATTCCCATTCCACCTCTCTCATCATATTTTTAATCCAAAGACATTTTAATCAAAGACATTGTCTCCTTAGAGTTTTACCAAGCATTGACCATTAATATTTTTCCCCAAACTCCTCATCCCCATTGTCTGCTTCTTTCCCATGAAACCCTCATTCCTATTTGCCCAGAACCCAATATGCCCATACCGTTAATGCCTTGCACTTTGTCCCCGTGTGCCCTCACACCCAGCAATGCACTTTAACCCTCTGTGACATTTGAGACGCTTTTGATTTTTATCCCTCTACCTTCTCTCTCTCCTTTACTCTCCATTCTCCCATACCCCAGGCTTTCTTCTCCATGATCTTTTCCATATGCCCCTTTCCCTGTGCCCTCTCTTCTCTCACACTGCTCCATCACACACATATGCAATAATTGCTTAGTGAACCTGCGTTAATTGTCGAATTGTTTATAGGGAAAATCAAAGGATCAGTTTCAACTCTTAATTTATTCTTTTTAATTACGAAAGCAACAAATGCACATTACTGAAAATTCAACAAAAAAACAGACAAACAAAAAAACCTAGATTACTGTGGTAACATTTTAATGCTCTTGAATTAAGTACTTGGGCAATGGCTCATCTAACAGTTACAAGAATAGTTACAAGAATGGTAGAGTCTGCTTGTTGAGCCATCTGACTGGAGTCTTTTTATTTGTGACAGACTCTTTTGAACCTTCTCTCTTGCTTCTATATATAGTGTTCTCTCTCTAATTCTTATTTATACAGGTCCATAATGGTAAAGTCTACTTTTCTACAAATTTTCCACATTAAGTGGAATGGAATTATGCAAATGAGTCCAAATTAATTAACTTTGATTTGTGCAAGTGATTTCTAGAGTGAGTAATTGACATCAAGTTCTTCCTTTTACTTGTATCCCTTTGAAAATCATTCCAGGTATTCTGTCTTGTTACATTTCTCTGCTAATAATTTAAATGATGGATCAGCTCAGAAGAATGAAGATTAGGCAAAAACTAGACATTGGGTAGAAGAACTTTTCAGGGAAGTGAAGAATCCAGTGATTCTTACAGCCAGTTCCTCACGTGTCAGGCCTCAGCATTTCCTGCTGCCTCCACGTGAGACCTCGTCTGCCTTCAGGGATACTGGAAAAGAAAGCGCCTCTCAAAAACACCCCAATTGTCTCCTAATTGGTGCTAACTAGAAACTGGTAATTATTTTTGGTAATTAACAAGTTGGAGAAAAGTTTTCAGTAATATTCTCAGCTCCCAAGCCTGCACTCCCATGGCTGCTACAGATGAAATAATTGCGGTTCTGAGGGGAGGTAAGGTCACAGATTCACAAACTTATATATCAAGGTCTGGCTGCTCCCTCCCACTCATGTTCTGACCATAGTGACCATCATCCTGAACCCATGGTCCTGGTAGCAGGAAGGTGTTGCATGAGTAATTTCTATTTCAGTCTGGGAGGCTGAGTGTGTAAGAGAAAGACATGTCAAGAGTCTGGGTAAGTGATCATATCAGAAAAAGGCAATCTTCTGTGTATTAACCTGATTCAGTGCCAATGCCATGCAGGCATATGGAATAATTCTGAGGCATGAGTGATCTAGTACAGAGAGATGAGGGTCTTAAGCCCTACACCAATCCCTGATGGCTCGTAATGCAATTTAATGTAATCCTCACTAACAGTGATGGTTGTGGCTTAACCCAATTTGATATTTAAGGTGCTTAAGGATGTAGTTATAAAATCAATCTGCTGTTCAGTCTACGTTTTAGGAATCATAGCCTAAATTTTCAGGTTTCTAGAAGAGTACCTATAATACCTCCATGTTTGTAATAAAGAGTAGGATGAATTTACAGGAGTCATGTGATCCTGAGCAGAAGATCTATCCAAATAGTAATTGATTGAATAGAAGTGTTTGCTCTAACCTAGGTGTTTAAGTAATTAATAGAGAAAGAAATTGTGACTCTACTGAACACATCCATAGTCTGTTATTATGGTGAGGCTATTTTCCCCCTTAAGGTGAGGAAGTGAACAGTTGAGGAACAGTTAAAATACTAATTACACATTTCAGACAGCAGCTGTCAATCTTGTGTTGTTTCCACTCATTTAAAAAAATTCCAATATCAATCCAAAAATACATAAATCCTGTATTTAATGTATAAAATGCACAACAATGGATGCTTTGCAGATGCCATTTTACATGTATGTCTTGTATGTTAATATCATTCCCAAATCTTAGTTCATTGCTAATAGTTTTACTTAACTCAGGTATCTATAAATAGATAAATGTATCATCTGAAATTAGTAATCATTTAGATTCCGCCTTTCACTGTTTTATTATGTATTAGTGTTTTATGTCCCAAAGTTTATGAAATTACGCGTGGTTATTCGACAATTCCTGTGTCTCATGCCATTCTACTTGTATTCTTGACATAAAAGCCTGATGAGTCTTTCCCTGGCTGTTCTAATATCAAGCCATTCTCATGTTTATTATGTATAACTTTTCATGGGGCAGGTTCCTGCAGCATTCTGCTGCCAGCAGTGCATCAGTTGTTACTGAGATATCTAAAGCTTTACTTACAATTAATATTGGCCTATGGACTAAATCTTCACAAATACATGGAATCCTGTTATAATGAAATTGTAAAATTCCATCAGTCTAAAATCAAACAACAAAGTGTCAAATCAAAACTAAATAGAAATCTGGATTATTTGATGAACACAGCTAACTGGCTTCTTAGCGGAGCCTGGTGGTTCGAAGCATTATGATTGTTACCAGCCCAACCAGTTTCAAGTCCCCACTTTTTCCCTAAGCAGCAGATTTTGACAAATAACCTCTGTGTGTACCTTCTCCTTGTCTTTATAATTAAAACCACAGAAGTGCCTGCCTCATAGATTTGTGAAGAATGAAGAATTTACAACGTGTATTGCCTTCTCAGGAATGATCTCATGTTATAAGTGCTCTTTAACAGTTTTACATTTAACCCTTCAAAACCTCTTTGTAAAGGAAAAACATTAAGTAAGAGTTTACTAGTGGAACTAATGCTAAGTGAAGACTGTTGGATTTCAGTCGACATGATCCATGTAGTCCATGCCTCATATTCCCATGCAGGAAACTCCAGCTCAGAAGACAAATCTCAGTGACTGGGAACTGAGAGGATGGCCAACAGTAATTTGGTAATAGGAATCATCATCTTAACACAGACTGTGGTTGGAATCCTGGGCAATTTCTCTCTTCTTTGCCATTATATCATCCTTTACTTCACTGAGTACAGGTTAAGGTGCACAGATTTGATTCTTAGGCACCTGATTGTAGCTAACTTCTTATCCCTCTTCTGTAAAGGAGTCCCTCAGACAATGGCAGCATTTGGGTGGAAACATTTCCTTGGTAATTTTGGATGCAAACTTCTTTTCTTTCTTCACAGAGTGGGGAGGGGAGTGTCCATTGGTAGCATTTGTGTCTTGAGTGTCTTCCAGGTGATCACAATCAGTCACAGGAACTCCAGGTGGGCAGAGCTTAAAGTAAAAGCTCCAGACTACATTGTCCCCACTGTTTTCCTGGTTTGGTTCCTGCAAGCGCTGGTAAATATCATTTTTCCTATGTTTGTTATTGAGAAATTGAGCAACAACAACATCACAGACAGAAAAGATTTCATATACTGTTCTACTGTTCGTCATGATAGAAAGACACAATTGTTACATGCAGCATTGCTATCAGTCCCTGATGTTTTATGTTTGGTGGCCATGCTCTGGGCCAGCAGCACCGTGGTTTTAATCCTGTACAGGCACAAGCAGAGGGTCCAGCACCTTCATAGGTCGAACACCTCCTCCAGATCCTCCCCAGAGTACAGAGCTACCAAAACCATTCTTCTCCTGATGAGCACCTTTGCCTATTTTTATGCCATTTCCTCCATCTTGCAAGTTATTTCGACTGTTTTAAATAATCCTGACTGCTTTCTGGTGAACATCACTGCAATCACGGCTCTGTGTTTCCCAACTGTCAGCTTCTTTCTGATCAAGGTCGGTGACTCCCGTGTCTCCACACTCTGCTTTGCCTGGATAAGGAATATGAAAATCCCTAATCTTATTAAAAATATATAAATTGTATATATTTCCACAATGTACAGTTGCCAATTCATTCATTCCCCCTCAAAGTCCTAAATAAATGATCAATCACAGGAGAATGGTAAACAGAACTTGCTTAGCTTCTTCTTCCAAATAAACAATAAATCATAATAGTATTGTGATGAAATATAATTATCATGTAAATATTTATGTGATTGAAGTTTCACTAACGCTTGCAGTAGAGAGGTTTAGAGTTTATGCAATAATAAATACTAGGTCTTGAAACTATCTGGATATCATGGAGAAGGCTTTAAGCGTGTAGCTTTCAATCTATCACAATAAGTTTCCTAGAAATAAACTGAGCATAGAATTTTAGGAAAAAGTACATGAAAATGGGTCAGCATGTGACAGATCATTACTGAAACTGAAGAAAAGTAATGTTCTTAGGGAATAAAGAATAGCATGGGATAGAGCTGAGGGGTAAAGTCATTCTCAGTGATTAGAGCTTTAATTGCTAGTTAAGAGTTTTGTATATAACATCCTTAGAGAGACGGTGGTCATTTATCTGAAAATATAACGTTATGCCTGGAGATAATTGGTTGAAATGATTTTCGTGCAGAAAATGGCCAGATTAAAGTAGAATGGGGTGAAGGAAAAGACAAAATAAAAATATGCTTCAGTGGATATTTAAAATTATCAAGTGAGTGTGGACAATTAAAAAGACTGTATTTGGATGTGTAGAAGGCTCATTTTCCTGTCATATGTTAAGATGATTTGGGCATGTTGGCAAGAAAGGGGTTTGGAGGTGCACGCTAATGTCTCTGCAGTAATAAAAATAGGTTATAGTGGAAAGTTACATTAAATTTGGAGTACTATAGGGACAACTATTTGAAAGGGGAAAATATGAATTTATTCCATTTAGGTAGAGTCTGTGGCTTTTGGATTTCGAAAGAGCAAAGTATATATTTCCTCGATTTTAGGAATGATTTTAATATAGCTCTCTCTGGGGCGGCCCTGTGGCTGAACGGAAAAGCGCGCATGCTCTGCTACTGGCAGCCCAGGTTCGGGTTCCAGGCACGCACAGACACACAGCTTCTTCCGCCTCACTGAGGCCCCTTGCCACATACAGCAACTAGACGGATGTGCAACTATGACATACAACTATCTACTGGGGCTTTGGGGAAAAAAAAAAGGAGGTTTGGCACTAGATGTTAGCTCAGAGCCGGTCTTCTTCAGCAAAAAGAGGAGGATTGCCATGGATGTTAGCTCAGGGCTGATCTTCCTCACAAAAAAATTAAAAAAAATAAATAAATAATATAGCTCTCCCTGTATTTACATTATGAAGTTGATGCAAAGTATTAAGAAATAAGCAATGTGAAAATCAAAAGCTTTATTTTGACTTAACAGATATATGTTTTGAATCTTGCACCACAATAAAGGCTGGACAGATTTTTCGGACCCCTTTCCCTGGTCTCACAGGCAAATCTAGCAAGCAAACTGCATAGGCTTTAAGTCAGTATGAGAAAATCCATGCTGTCCTGTGAAGCAGAAGGGCAGGCCATCTTCAGTCTGTGTCAAATGACCTTGCAACCCCACATCTCATGACTGAAGATGCCAGCTGGACAGATCCACAACTGGAAGAAATAAAGAAGTACCTCACTCGCACATTTCCCAGCTGCATTTCATAGAGATTGAGGGACTAATTAATGATCCTGGTCCTTGCCTCCCTCCACACATAGATAATGTCAGCATCTCTGAACTTGTTTGATGTAGAACCAAGGAATTCTTGTTGATGTTACCTTCAATGGATAACTAGGGAAAAGCCTAGATTTAATCTATCCTTTTCTTTTAACACATATGAACTCTAATTGTAAGTTATTTTTTCTCTTTTCCTCTTACCTTCACATGCACTGTTGTGTGAAAGAGATATAAGCTGCACTTAAACTCACTCACATCAGAGCAATTCCATCAGAGTGCTTTGTTGAACTGTTTTCCCAGGGTGTGAACTCCTCATGCTAATTATTGAATAAACTCCTGCATTAATATCACTTAGACTTTTTGTTTCAGTCGACAGATTGGTGACCATGAAGGGACCCAGTGAGACTGCCTAAGACCACCTGGAGCATTGAGAGGACCTGGCACTGTAGTACCAGCAGGGCCCTTTGTGCCCAACTGGCTCCCCAGAGCTCCAGCTGCAGCAGGGTAAGTCTCTCCTGGGTCTTGGATCTTCCAATTAATGGTTGAAGGTCTTTGAGTCTATTCAATAATTGTTTGTAATTGTCTGGATGGGACAGGTTATCCTCTTCCTTCACGGGGAAGGGAATTCCAAACTTGGTGCTTGGGTTTTCTGGCCTTCCTAGCCAAGGGAAATAAAAAAGAGGATAGTTGGTTGCTAATGTCACAGTTTGCCCCTGTTGGCTCTCTTGACAATCAGAACCTGGGTCAGCTTGCCAAAATCAAACTACTCATGAATAAGGGCCAGCTTCAGCTGACTCTGAAGAATTTTCCTCACATGAGGGTTAGTTCCAGCTAACTCCAAAGAAAAGGGCCACTTGCTCCCTCCAGCTGGCATTGCCAGTGTCTCTGGGTGACCAGAGGCCTAGCAGAGGTGGCTAAGATCATTCATAAGACACGTAGTCATCCCACAGGAAACTCCAAATAATGTAATTAAGTAATTTATCTCACTCAGGGATGCACTAAAAGGTTGATTGCCAGTACTCTGAGCCCCTACAATTGTGTTAGACAATCAGGAGGAGAAACCAAAGCACGTAAGAGGGTGGAACCAACTCATTGGTGACAATTGTGACGAGCTGAACTCATAAGCAGCACACTTCTGATCCACCACACTAAATCACTAGTTTGACTTGCTGAACCAGAATGGGAAACAAAACATCAAAACTTGGTAATTGTGGGATATCTGTCAGGCAGTCATTAACTAGTGCTCCAGCCAATTTTATGTTCAATACTTAGGGAGCACAAACTTGCAAATGGTTCCCCGAATGGGCTGATATTACTACAGGGGATTTCACATTACAGTGGCCATTCTGGGGAAATTTTGTTTCAGATAAGTCTACCTTAAGGGTCACTCTTAAAAGAGAAGATTCAAAACCTCTCAGAAACAATGAAGTACATTCTTTGATTGATATGTAGAAGCTTTTACAAGATAAGACTTCAAAAACTGGTCTAAAAAGGATCCTACAAAAAAAAGAATCTTTAGTAAAAATTTCTTTTTTTTATGTATATACAATATTTACTTATTCATTTATCCATCAATGAACAGTTGGGTTACTTCCACCTCTTGGTTATTGTGAATAATGTTGCTATGAACACTGATGTACAAATATTTGTTCAAATCTCTGCTTTCAATTCTTTTGGAATTCCACTATATGCTGGATCATATAGTAATTCTGTGTTTAATTTTTTTTTATTGATGTTTTAAT